GCGGTGACACTTTGTGGCAACCGCGGTCTCCCACGCGACAACCATTTTACCACTTTTAATTCGAACCCGTCCGCAGCTGGTGAAGGTGTTGTTGGGGTTTCATTACGGGAGACCCCCTCTCATCCTCTCCTCCATCCGCGTATCGCCGCCACGCGCCGAGTCTCCTCTACGACAGTCTCCGCAAATTAACAGCCGCCGCCGCTCGTAATGAGATTTGAGATTTGAGAGATAGAGAGGCGTGGGAGGGTTGGTGGATCGCGTAGAGATCATTGTGTGTGTGGGGGGGGGGGGGGTAGTTTAGCGTTGAGAGCGCTGTGCTCAGAAACAGGATATTGATTTATGCTGGTGGAATCCGATGAGCTATAAAGCTTATTTTCTTCACAGATGTCCGTCCAGTAGGGGCAGGTAAAACACGTTACAACAAACAAAATGAAAACATGATAGACGTGCAAAGTACAAGGTTAAACAAACGACTCAAACGCAAACAAATTCAACTAAACCGCCCCAATCCTACCAGGCAAAGCCCACTGATGTATTTATTTGTTTTCAGAAGCGACCTGGCCACAAACGAGAGCTCAAATAAGTGGCTTAACATTTGAACATTTATAGCAGCAAAATAATATAAACCAAGGCCGTAATTATAATATATATTCAAATATGCTCAAAGTGTCCCCCCCAATATATTGCTATAAAATAATTTGTTTATACGATTGTGGTTATGGTTGTACTTTATTAATCCCTAATCTCTGCCATTACATACAATGAAACAAGAAAAGGTAAAAAAATGTAATACAATACACTATTAGACAATGTAAAAAATAAATAAAAAGTCCATCCTATGTGTGAATTTTTTTAATATTGTAGGCAGGAAATTCTTTTCAAATTTAGATTTTATTCTGGGGGGGGGGGGGGGGACCCCCAGACCCCTTGGAAGATTTGGTCCCCCCCCCCCGCAATGTTGACTCCATGGCTACGGCCTTGATTTAAACCATCTCAATGCAAGGTTTATAAATATGGAAAAAGGGAAAAACCGGAGGCCTTCATTTGGTGTTCGCGAACGGCACATGCCCCCAAAAGTATTGCCGTCCTTGATAATAATCATTGGCTGTCAAGCGCAGGCCAAACGGCTTGGGGAAAAAACCCCGCAAAGAAGCTCCCGCCAGCAGGCACTCTTGAAACCCCCCCCCCCCCCCGATGTGATACATACCAGTTGGGAGCTGCCCCCGTGATGTCGTGAACTGGTTCAGCACGCTGGACTTGCAATCCAGAGATCTAGGTTCGATTCCAGCCTGCGGCGCGGCGAACTTCTCCCCATCGAGGTGCCATCTCGCCTGGTATGCAGGGAATGCGCGGGTTCGATCCCGACTCTGGGCGCCCGTATATTTGGAGTATGCGTGTCATGTTATCTCCCCGTGGTCGCGTGGATTTTTCTCCGGGTCCTCTGGTCTTCCCCCTCCACACTTTCGACAAATGCGTCTAAAATATTTCGCTGCAAATGAATGTCCACGCGATAAGCCACCTAAATGGAGCGAGCCATCATTTGTGGCCAGGTCGCTATATAGCTCGGTGGGCACGGTCCACTCCGTGCGGTGCGAAAGACGTTACGTACATACGTAACATACGTTAAAAAAATAGTTTATTAGCTTCGTTTAAACACCACGGTCGATCGGTAGGTCGCGTGTGTGTGGTGGGAAAAAGTGTGGGTACCCCCCCCCCCCCACATCTTCCAAATCTGGTCGCCGTGCAGGAGTTGGCCATATTGTCTCGAGAGTTCACGCCACGAGTATGTAGTGCGTGCATGCTGAACTTCTTTCGCACCCTACGTAGCCAACCGTGCTAATCGGAGGCGAGTGGCGTGAGAGAGCATCTGGAGGGCTGCACCTTTATCCCCTAACAGACGGGAGTTGATGCGCTTCTCGAATTGAGCAAGGTAGTATAAGTACTTGGGGGTGGTGGGGGGGGGGGACGGCGGGAATGAATTCCAAAGTCGAGAAGTACGAGGGAAGAAGCCGAGTAAAATTGTTTTGAGCTGCAGTGTGGTGGCTGAGTGAGTGGGGGGGGGGGTGAGCAGGTGGATGGGCGAGTTGAACAGTACCGCACTCGCGAGACGAGACGGTATAATAACGATACCTCAACGTGGGCGGAGTATTAAGTGACGTTCGCCGGAACAGTCACCGTGGTAAGAGCAAGAGAAGAGCGTGCAAGAGACCCCTGGCCCAGCTGTCGTTCTGGCGAGGTGAGGGGGCCCTATGACCCACACGTGAGGAATTTCTCAAGTTATTCCCTTCGCGTGAAAACGCTCCTCTGGTTTCCTACCGCCAGCCAATGGCTATCGCGTACAAATGACCTCTCCCACCTGACGTTGAACTCCTGACCTTCCGACTGCGGGTCAGGCATCCGCACACCCGGCACCTGGCCAGATCGTGAGCCATGGTCAACCCACTGCTGGATTAAGGCCTCCCCAAAGCCACCACCACCTCTTGCTGAAGTAAAAACTACAGTATTTTTTATTTTGCCAGGTAAGGCCCACTGACCTATATAGCGCTCTTTCAGAAGCGAACTGGCTATCGCAAATGATAGGAAATGTATAGCGGCCGGTTACTCTAAACGCATGTTTCTAAATGTGGAGGGGAAAAAAACCCGGAGTACCCGGATAATCATCCACTTGACCACGGGGAGAACACACAAACTCCAAATATACAACAGGCCTCAGGGTCGGGATCGAACCAACGACCTCCTGTATACCAGGCGAGGTAGTCAACATCTCGCCAACGCGGCGTCCTTCCGGTCCCGCGATATGCACAATCAACACCCGGCACCTGGGCACGGACCGAGTACTTTTTTTTTTAAAATCACTCCATCTCATTGGTAGGGACGTAACCACCCTTCTCAGGACGCGTTCCATGCCTTGGCTGCCTGCCAACTCCCCCACCCCCACACGCCGTTATTATTCTTCTTGACCGCCGTCCATCATCCGCCCCACTCCCTCTCCACCCACCACGCTCGTGACACGTCCAGCCGGCACACAGATAAGGAGAGAGACGACGACGACACTGCCGATAAATTCCAGCGCAGCACAGAGCCCCGTGCGTGCGTGCGTGGCCGCACGCACGGGGCCCAAGAGGCACCGGAACCGCACAGCGCAGCGATGAATCCGCAGATTTATTCCTCGTGGTTTGGCAGCGGGACAGCACGAGAATTAAAAAGTGGAAGAGGAGGGGGGGAAACCCAAACCAGGATCGGTGATGCAGAATCGCTGGGGAGCTGGAGGCCTCGCGTCGCCGCGTGGATGTCGCGGTCAACCGCACACCCCTCGTCAACTGCACACCCTTCGTCAACCACACACCCCTCATCAACCACACCCTCATCAACCGCACACCCCTCAAACCGCACACCCTCATCAACCGCACACCCTCATCAACCGCACACCCCTCATCAACCGCACACCCCTCATCAACCACACACCCCTCATCAACCACACACCCTTCGTCAACCACACACCCCTCATCAACCGCACACCCCTCATCAACCACACACCCCTCCGATCAACCACACAGACTTCATCAGACACACCTCATCAACCGCACACCCCTCATTAACCGCACACCCCTCAAACCGCACCCCCTCATCAACCGCACACCCCTCATCAACCGCACAGACTTCATCAGACACACCTCATCGACCACACACACACACCTCGTCAACAAAACACCCCCTTACCTTAACCGCACAACCCCTCCCCCTTCAATCGCACAGAACTCATGAATTACACAGAACTCATCAATGACACACGCCTCATCCTAACGGCGTATGCTTTAAATCCGCACACGCCCCCCACCAACCACACGCTCCTCATCAAACAGACACACACACGCGCACACACGCGCACACACACGCACGCGCACCTCTCATCACAAACAGCACCGGAGAATCCGGAGCGTCGGCGTGAAGCACGCAGAGGGCCTCGTCGAGCCACGGAGGGCCGGGACTGGCGCCGGGAGCGCACGGTCGTGAGAGACGAGGGTTACGAGGGTCAAGACCGTGCGTGCACACACACACACAAAGATCCCCCGTATAGCCTTGACAGACTGTCGGGGCAAGTGCTGTTAGCGAGAAAATATGAAGGCAGGGACGGCACACGAGGAGGTGGGTGGCCAGCACCACGCCCGGACGCCTTTGTCTCCCCAGTGGCGATGTTTTTACACACCGCGCCAGGTGCTCATTTGAGGCTGAGTCGACCAAGGGGAGGGCCCAGGACTGGTTCAGATAATCGTCACCGGTGTTGGCCCGTGAGTGGGAATTGAACTCGGGTCGCCGGGTTCATAGCGCAGCGCGTCAAACGCTACGCTACCCCTCCCCATCACGCACACAAATACACACATACACACATACACACAAATACACACAAATACATACACACACACATACACACACACACATACACACACACATACACACACATACATACACACACACATACACACACACACAAGTGCATGTGGAGAGTAAGGACGGCCCCTGCAGCAGACTTGTGCGGTCGTACGATCGTCAGCGGCCGAGCTGGGTGGAGCTGGGTGGAGCCGGGTCAAGGTGGAGCCGGGTCAAGGTGGAGCCGGGTCAAGGTGGAGCCGGGTCAAGTTGGTGCCGGGTCAAGGTGGAGCCGGGTCAAGGTGGTGCCGGGTCAAGGTGGAGCCGGGTCAAGGTGGTGCCGGGTGAAGGTTGAGCCGGGTCAAGGTGGAGCCAAATCAAGGTGGAGCCAGGTCAAGGTGGAGCCGGGTCAAGGTGGAGCCGGGTCAAGATGGAGCCGGGTCAAGATGAAGCTGGGTCAAGATGGAGCCAAATCAAGGTGGAGCCAGGTCAAGGTGGTGCCGGGTCAAGGTTGAGCCGGGTCAAGGTGGAGCCAAATCAAGGTGGAGCCGGGTGAAGGTGGAGCCGGGTCAAGGTGGAGCCAAATCAAGGTGGAGCCAAATCAAGGTGGAGCCGGGTGAAGGTGGAGCCGGGTCAAGGTGGAGCCAAATCAAGGTGGAGCCAGGTCAAGGTGGAGCTGGGTGAAGGTGGAGCCGGGTCAAGGTGGAGCCGGGTCAAGGTGGAGCCGGGTCAAGGTGGAGCCGCTGCTAGTTGGCTGGGGGCTGGAAGGAATCCTTCTCCTGTCGGATAGCGCCCATGGTGGCGATGGGGTCACTTTTCCCTGCGTGCTTCTGCACCGTCGGCTCCCTGTTCCACACAGCGAGGATCACAAGTTTCCGGTTATGAAGATCACGAGTTTCCGGTTATGAGGAACGCGATTTTCCGGTTATGAGGAACGCGATTTTCCGGTTATGAGGAACGCGATTTTCCGGTTATGAGGAACGCGATTTTCCGGTTATGAGGAACGCGATTTTCCGGTTATGAGGAACGCGATTTTCCGGTTATGAGGAACGCGATTTTCCAGTTATGAGGAACGCGATTTTCCGATTATGAGGAACGCGATTTTCCGGTTATGAGGAACGCGATTTTCCGGTTATGAGGAACGCGATTTTTCGGTTATGAAGAACGCGATTTTCCGGTTATGAGGAACGCGATTTTCCGGTTATGAGGAACGCGATTTTCCGGTTATGAGGAACGCGATTTTCCGGTTATGAGGAACGCGATTTTCCGGTTATGAGGAACGCGCATTTCCGGTTATGAGGAACGCGCATTTCCGGTTATGAGGAACGCGATTTTCCGGTTATGAGGAACGCGAATTTTCGGTTATGAGGAACGCGATTTTCCGGTTATGAGGAACGCGATTTTCCGGTTATGAGGAACGCGATTTTCCGGTTATGAGGAACGCGATTTTCCGGTTATGAGCAACGCGCGTTTCCAGTTATGAGGAACGCGCGTTTCCGGTTATGAGGAACGCGGGTTTCCGGTTATGAGGAACGCGGGTTTCCGGTTATGTCTGTCTACGTGAGACCTATATCCACCACGTGCACCACAATGGGAACTCGCCTCTTACCTCACGCGCATAAAGGGGTTAAAGGTGAACTCATCGCCGATGCAGGAGGGCACAGTGGGCTCACCCCTCGCTTGACGCTCCTGCAGCCACGGTCAACACACACGGTAAATTCACACATCAACTAAGACACGGTCAACTCACCCGCGGTCAACACACACGGTAAACTCACACATCAACTAAGACACGGTCAACTCACCCGCGGTCAACACACACGGTAAACTCACACATCAACTAAGACACGGTCAACTCACCCGCGGTCAACACACACGGTAAACTCACACGTCAACTAAGACGCGGTCAATTCACCCGCGGTCAACTCACCGGCGGTCAACACACACAGTCAACTCAACCGCGGTCAACTCACCCGCGGTCAACTCACCCGCGGTCAACTCACCCGCGGTCAACTCACCCGCGGTCAACTCACCCGCGGTCAACTCACCCGCGGTCAACTCACCCGCGGTCAACTCACCCGCGGTCAACTCAACTTACTTAACAGGGCACTATGGCCATTTGTTCACACTTCCTTACCATCGGGCCCCACCGTGGGGAACACTCAACTCGCACAAACACAACAACATCAACAGCTGGTGACGTCACCACGACGCTTGTGCCAGGCCAGGTGCACTCCGAGGCCACGTGAAGTGTCGAAGGCTCGCTGCTGGCAGGACGTGATGGGACAGACCCAGGGTGCCATGGGTTGATTGACCGAGATGACTGGCAGATGCACCAGCTGCGCCGCCCCTACTGTGCCAACTCGCTGCATTTTAGCCGCCCGGCGTTCCACTCGTTGTTGTGAGCGTCACTCCTCTTGCCCTCCGTTGTTATTGGGAGGGCGACTGCCTTCAACTGCTCAGTAGTGTCCTTCACGAGCCTCCGCCACAAACACACCAAAAAAAAACATATACGCCCTGTATAGCCTTAACAGACTGTTGTGGCAAGTGCTGATAGCGAGCAGCACCTGCTGTTGGCCGTGAGCGGGGATCGAACTTGGGTCGCCGGGTTCATAGCGCAGCGCGCTAACCGCGGCACTACCGCTCCCCACACAAACACACACGTACACACACACACACGTACACACACTCGTACACACACACACACGTACACACACTCGTACACACACGCACGTACACACACACACGCACGTACACACACACACACACGCACGTACACACACACGTACACACGTACGTACACACGTACACACACACACACGTACGTACACACACACGTACGTACACACACACGTACGTACACACACACACGTACGTACACACACACGTACGTACACACACACGTACGTACACACACACACACGTACACACACACACACAAGCGCACTCTCCTCCAATACACAGGCTATCACCCTCGCGCTACCACACTTGGGAGGGGGCTAGTGGGTAGTGGGTGGGCTGGGGGGTGGGGGGCTGGGTGAAGGAGGGGGGCTGGAGGAGACGCACCGTTGCCCAAGCCAGCTTCTCCAGCACCGCGGAGTTCCCGGGCTCCACGTGCCGCGCGAACTTCAGGTTGTTCACCGTGTACTCATGTCCGCAGTACACTCGCTGTGGTAAAAAAAAAACAATGACAAAGGGCCCCCCACCCCCGTGTAGCCTTAACAGACTGATGGGGCAAGTGCTGTTAGCGAGCACCTATGAAGGCCGGCACGGCACACGAGGGGGTGCGTGGCAAACACCACACCCGGCCGCCTTTGTCTCCCCAGTGGCGATGTTTACACACCGCACCAGGTACTCATTTGAGGCCGAGTCGATTTAGGGGAGGCCCATGACCGGTACAGATAATCGTCACCGCTGTTGGCCGTGAGCGGAAATCAAACTCGCCGGGTTCATAGCGCAGCGCGCTAGCCGCTACACAACCGCTCCCCACACAGGACACAGGCGCACACACACACACACAATGCACATGCACAACCACGCACGCACACGCACGCACACGCGCCAGTCGATAACAGAGAAAACCAGCGAGGCAGAGTTAATTTAAGCAGACTACTTGACTCGTGAGAGATTGCCAAATGCGTTCACTCGGAAGACGGAGGGCCCAATTGTAAAGATTTTTTTGTTTTCGTCGTCGGAGACCCCCCCCCCCCCCGCCCCCCGACGGCCGGAACGTAGAGACGCGGAGAGATGAGAGGGGGGCGTACCGACTCGGGGGGCAGGGCCCCCAACACCTCGACGAGCGCCGCGAACATCTCCCGAGGGGTGCCCTCGAAGAAGCGGCCGCAGCCCCCCACGAACAGCGTGTCTCCTGCCGCGGGGGGGGGGGGGGGTAGATTAAGACAAAGACATCCCCTCACCCCCCCCCCCCCCCCCCCCACCACCGTATCGCCTTGACAAAACTGTTGGGGACAAGTGCTGTTAGCGGAGCACCGATGAAAGCCGTGGGGCACACGGACGCGCACACCTGCACAGAGACGCGCACACCTGCACAGAGACACAGATCCCCCGTATAGCCTGAACAGACTGTTGGGGCAAGTGCTGTTAACGAGCACCTATGAAGGTCGGCACGGCACACGAGGGGGGCTGGTTGGCCAGCACCACGCCCGGCCGCCTTTGTCTCCCTCGTGGCGATATTTACACACCGCACCAGGTACGCATTTGAGGCCGAGTCGACCTAAGGGAGGAGGCCCAGGACCGGTTCAGATAACAGTCACTGGTGATGGCCGCGAGCGGGAATCGAACCCGGTTTTGCCGGGGTTCGTTACACAGTGCGCTAAACCATCGCACCGCCACTCCCCAAACAAAACTTACAAAGAAGCGCGCACACACACACACCCTGGGCGCACACACACACCCTGAGCGCACACACACTGGGCGCATACACACACACACACACCCTGGGCGCACACACACTGGGCGCACACACACTGGGCACACACACACTGGGCAGGCACACACACTGGGCAGGCACACACACACACCCTGAGCGCGCACACACACACACCCTAGCGGGTTCATATTTTTACTCCATCGTCCGTCGCGCCTGTTTATGACCTTTTAATCGTACGTGCACTATAACGCTTTTGTGAAGCCAGGTTTTCCCTCGAAGAGGGCGGGGGTGAGCTCAGATTCTCAGCGGGCTCCCACTTGATCGTAAACTGAGATTAACCCGCGGAAGACTCGCGCGCTCGCACAACACGCAGGCAGCGAGATAAGGAGATGGGGTGGCGACGAGAAGATAGCGAGATGGGGAGCCAGAGAGACGACAGGTGGATGTGGAGACAGGGAGACACGTGGATGTGGAGATAGGGAGACAGGTGGATGTGGAGACAGGGCGACGGGGAGACAATGAGACAGGTGTATGTGGAGACGGGGAGACAGGTGGATGTGGAGACAGGGCGACGGGGAGACAATGAGACAGGTGGATGTGGAGACGGGGAGACAATGAGACAGGTGGATGTGGAGACTGGGCGACGGGGAGACAATGAGACAGGTGGATGTGGAGACGGGGAGACAATGAGACACGTGGATGTGGAGACAGGGAGACAATGAGACAGGTGGATGTGGAGACTGGGCGATGGGGAGACAATGAGACAGGTAGATGTGGAGACGGGGAGACAATGAGACAGGTAGATGTGGAGACAGGGAGACAATGAGACAGGTAGATGTGGAGACGGGGAGACAATGAGACAGGTAGATGTGGAGACAGGGAGACAATGAGACAGGTAGATGTGGAGACTGGGCGATGGGGAGACAATGAGACAGGTAGATGTGGAGACGGGGAGACAATGAGACAGGTAGATGTGGAGACAGGGAGACAATGAGACAGGTAGATGTGGAGACTGGGCGATGGGGAGACAATGAGACAGGTGGATGTGGAGACGGGGAGACAGGTGGATGTGGAGACAGGGAGACAATGAGATAGGTGGATGTGGAGACAGGGCGACGGGGAGACAATGAGACAGGTAGATGTGGAGGCTGGGCGATGGGGAGACAATGAGATAGGTGGATGTGGAGACAGGGCGACGGGGAGACAATGAGACAGGTAGATGTGGAGACTGGGCGATGGGGAGACAATGAGACAGGTAGATGTGGAGACGGGGAGACAATGAGACAGGTAGATGTGGAGACAGGGAGACAATGAGACAGGTAGATGTGGAGACGGGGAGACAATGAGACAGGTAGATGTGGAGACAGGGAGACAATGAGACAGGTAGATGTGGAGACTGGGCGATGGGGAGACAATGAGACAGGTGGATGTGGAGACGGGAGACAGGTGGATGTGGAGACAGGGAGACAATGAGATAGGTGGATGTGGAGACAGGGCGACGGGGAGACAATGAGACAGGTAGATGTGGAGGCTGGGCGATGGGGAGACAATGAGACAGGTGGATGTGGAGACGGGGAGACAAGTGTCCACCTAGCCTGGTACGTGCACGCAAGTGAACAAGTGGGGAGGCCCTCGACAACGACATTGGGGCCGGGGGGTGGGCTCACGGAACAGGCGAGTGGAGGAGGGAAATTTTACTTGAAGACAATGAGCCAGCGAGTATCTCTGGGAAGTACAAGTGTGGTGGTGCCGCGAGATGTTAACTCCATCGACGGGTTCCATCCCGACCCTGACGCCCTGTATATTTGGGGTTTGTGTCTCTCTCCCGGTGGTCACGTGGATTGTTCTCCGGGTCATCCGGTTTCTCCCTCCGCACTGAGAATCAACGTCACGCGTTCGGAGTAATTTCGACGACCGCTCGAAATTTGCACGCGACAAGCCACTTCGTCGAGCTATCATTTGCGATACCCAGGTCGCGGCGTGGATAAAAAGAGCTACATAGTTCAGCGGGTCCCTACCTGCTAAAATAAAAAGTAGTTTTTTAGTTTAGCCGTTTAGAATCTCGAGAGCGGAGAGTGGAGGAGTGAAGCAGCACCGCCACCTCGCCGGGGGGTGACCCCCCCCCCCTCCCAGCCGTGTGGGGGCGTGGGGGGGGGTCAACCATACTTTTCTTCAGCAGGCAAGGCGATTCGCCGTGCATTGGCGAAGGAGAGGGGGGGGGGTTGGGAGCTAGGCCTGGTTCGTGTATCACTCGCCAACGACGTCATCCACGGGAACGGGAATTGGGAGTTCGGAGGTCGGCTCCCGAGGCTCTTAGCGCGGTGCTCAGAAACCCCGCGGTACGTTACGTGCAGGCCTACATCTGGTACATTCACACCACCGTCCAAGATAATTGCATTTGCAAAATATTCAGCAGCAGCAGCGACCCTCTTTAAGAGTAAATCATCAGCCGCGATCTACGTATGTACGTATGGTCTGTTGAACTTCTTTCGCGCCGCACGTAGCCAACCGCGCTAATCGAGGTGCAGGCCGCGGCGGGAACCATCATCACCGTCATCTGCCAAAATATGGAAGCGGGGCCGGGGGGCTTAAATTTCGGCCGGTTCTCTACCGCCCGCCCGTTAAAAAGAGCGTCGCGTAAACGGCCTCCGAACGTTTACAAACCCAAAACCTCAACGCCACCCTGTAGCACGCAACACGCGCGGCTCAGAAAACAGCGCTCGTTGGATTTACATTTAAATTAGGAAGAGCCTCGTCGAAAGCGCGTATCCCCGAGCTTTGCCTCGGCAGAAGGGAGTTTGTAGTTTGTTCGGCGCGCACGCGCAGACACGCACGAGAGCACGCACACACGCGCACGGACGCGCGCGTGTGTGCGTGCTCTCGACAGCCGAGTCAACCCGGGGTGTGCGCGGCGGTCGTTTGCAGCGCTTTGTAAAACTTAAGTTAGGGCGGCGGCGCAATGTCGCCGCTATTTGCCGAGGCAAGGGAAGCCAGACAAGCGAAGACGCTCGCCGTGACGGGCAGGGCAATTATGATTGAGAACAAAAAAGGGCGCGCCCACGGCATTAAAAATAAGACGCGGGAAGAACCTCCCCCCCCCCCCCCTCGAAGCTCGGGAGTTGAACACAAAAACGGAGAGAGGCAATTTTCGCATGAAAGTAACGGTTCATTAAACAAACGATGAGCGCTGTGTGTGCGCGTCATGTTTGACGTTGATGTTAGACATGAGTAATGGGGGTAGGGGGGGGTGTGGTTGGTGGTGGTGGTGGTCATATTGGAGATAAAGCGAGCGTGGGAGTGACAGACAGTACACGGGACGACATTTCACAACGGAGCGGCGGCGGCGGCGGCGGCGACGATCCGATGAGCTACGACGGATTTCGTGGTCGCGATCCGATTGGAGAAGTTGACAAAAGTCCAAGTGATTTCCCGTTCAAATGAGCGTTGAGGCACTGCTGGTGCTCGTCTCCCCATTTCACAGCCCAGAGGGCCCTGCGGTGGGAAATTCCACCTTCCTACGGTGGCTGTTGAGAGTCTCCAGGGACGGATGTTGTCGTCTCTTTCGGCACCGTTCCGCACTTTTCCGTCCCGTTAGTTAGAGTTCCGCTCGCCCCATTCGCCCAAACCGTAATACTGGACTATCATCTGGAACATCAACATCATCTTCATCATCATCATCATCATGATCATCACGATCTATACCAATGCTGGACAAAGGCCTCACTGAAGTGCTGAATCGATGAACATAGTAAATGCAAATATGAGATTACGATTACTTATACATCAGGGGTGGCCAACCTTTGACAGACCGAGAGTCAAAAAGTACCCACGAGTTCTGCAAAGAGCCAAGTGGAAATATAAATAATAAAGTGTGTTTATATAAAGTGTATATATAAAGTGTGCATGTAAAGTGTATATATAAAGGGTACATATATTAAAAAGGGTATATATAGACAGTTGTTGGCACAGCACGGGAGACATTCATTATTCCTTGCTACAGTGATAGTGCGTTTCTACGCTATGCCCCTTCGGTAGATCCGCGCGTGCTGTGGATTCAAGAGCAGCGTGCGGCTCGGAAGATGCCAGTGGGCGACCGACCGCTGCTGTACATAACAGCGTCCTTCTACAGACGATCAATCAGGTTGGATTAATCGAGAGGTATCGTGGATGTGGCTGGCGTGCCGGGGTGGCCGAAACGAATGCCTGGTGAAAATTGACGGACGAGTTGACTGGTTAGAGATAATTGACAGTTGCAGCTCCAGACACACGATGTAGTCTGTGGACGAATCGATTGCGAGAGATGAATCGATGTGTCGTTATAATACCTTGCATGAGGCAGGGAGCGGGGGGGGGCCTTCACTGGCGAAGAGGGTAATAGGGGCGGCGTGGGGGGGGGGGTAATGCTCACCGGTGAAGAGAGCGGGGGGCTCAGTGCTCCCCTCCTGGGTCACGAAGTAGCAGATGTGGCCGGACGTGTGGCATGGGGTGAACAGACACCGCACGTTCAGGGAGCCAATCTGCACCGTAAACACACACAGACAAGGATCGCCCGAATAGCCTTAACAGACTGTTGGGGCAAGAGGTGTTAGCGAGCACCTGTGAAGGCCGGAACGGCACACGAAGGGGGTGGGTGGCCAGCACCACGCCCCGCCACCTTTGTCTCCCCAGTGGCGATGTTCACACATCGCATCAGATACTCGTACCGAGTCGATCTAGGGGAGGCCCCAAGACCGGTTCAGATAATCTTCACTGGTGATGTCCGTGAGCGGGAATCTAACTCGGGTCGCCGGGTTCGTAGCGCAGCGCGCTACCCCCCCCCCCTCCACACCGCGACACGCACACAAAAAACACAAAGATCCCCTACGTAGCCTGTAACAGACTGTTGGGGGCAAGCGCTGTTAGCGAGCACCTTTGAAATGTGGCACGGCGTGCCAGCCGCTGCACCACGACACACGCGCGGGCTCAGCCGGCACCGCACACCCACGCTCACACAGTGGGGGCCGTGGAGTAGGCGGGGGGGGGGGGGGGGGGGGGGGGGGGGGGTGCTACAGGGGGTGAAGTATGGCATGCAGCGGGGTGTGACCCCCACCTGCAGCTCATCCCCGTGCTTGACGTGCGAGGTGAGCGCTCCGATTCGCTGGTCTCCCCCGACTACGGTCAGCCCCGGCTCCATGGCAACCAGCTTCTCATTACCGCCGGCGTGGTCCCTTCACACCATGCACGCACGCACGCAGGCACACACAGGCACACATGCACAGGCACACACGCGCACACACACAGGCACACACGCACACACACACACACAGGCACACACACGCAGACACACACGCACAGGCACACACGCACACACACGCAGGCACACACGCACACACATGCACAGGCACACACGCAGGCACACACGCGCAGGCACACACGCACACACATGCACACACACACACACGCACGCGCGAGGGTTACTCACCACTCACTCGCCACACTTCCCGCACATTGCCCCACACTCCTCACTCACTCACAGCAGCCTCGGCGGCGCACACTCGCCACGCTAGCGCCACTACGCTCGCCATACACGTCCACCGCACACACTCGCAGCACCCTCACCGTCCACCACACCTTGTCACCCAACGCTCACCCCCCTTAACGCTAAAACCCATTAACCCCACGTGCCCCCCCCCGCCCTCACCTCCTCCTCGTTCCCCTCGCTCACTCACCCCCTGCCCGGACCCCCGCAGCCCGTTGCAAATCATCGACGTTGTAATTGGCGAGTGGAGCGCCGCGCACACGGCGCATAGTAATTGTGTTGTATGCTGCTGATTGTGTCTAAGCGTCGTGTTAATGGTGATGGGCACTGAGAGCAAACAGCATTAGCGGAGCTGCGCACACGGCTGCGGCTCGTGCCCTTGTGCAGCTTTGCGTGACGCGCATGCTAGGAGAGGTGTTGCGCGTGCACGTGCAGCGCGTGCGTGTTAGCGCGTGCGTGTTAGCGCGTGCGTGTTAGCGCGTGCGTGTTACCGCGTGCGTGTTAGCGCGTGCGTGTGTGCGGAGTGGCAGGGCAGCGGTCAGCGCGCTGCGCTACGCAAAAACCCGGCAACACGCGTTCGGTTCCTAGTTTAAGCATCGCAGCAGTGACGATTATCTGAGTAGCTGGTGCGATGTTTAAACATCGCCACTAGGGAGACAAAGGTGGCCGGGCGTGGTGCTGGCCACCCATCCCTTCATGTGCCGTGCCGGCCGGCCTTAATAGGTGCTCGCTAACAGCACTTGCAGTCTGCTAAAGGCTTTGTTGTGTCACTGTGTGTGTGTTTGTGTGAATCACTGTGTGTGTGTGAATCACTGTGTGTGTGTCTGTGTGAATCACTGTGTGTGTGTGAATCACTGTGTGTGTGTGTGTGAATCACTGTGTGTGTGTGAATCACTGTGTGTGTGAATCACTGTGTGTGTGTGAATCACTGTGTGTGTGTGAATCACTGTGTGTGTGAATCACTGTGTGTGTTTGTGTGAATCACTGTGTGTGTTTGTGTGAATCACTGTGTGTGTTTGTGTGAATCACTGTGTGTGTTTGTGTGAATCACTGTGTGAATCACTGTGTGTGTTTGTGTGAATCACTGTGTGTGTGTCTGTGTGAATCACTGTGTGTGTTTGTGTGAATCACTGTGTGTGTGTGTGTGAATCACTGTGTGTGTGTCTGTGTGAATCACTGTGTGTGTGTGAATCACTGTGTGTGTGAATCACTGTGTGTGTGAATCACTGTGTGTGTGAATCACTGTGTGTGTTTGTGTGAATCACTGTGTGTGTTTGTGTGAATCACTGTGTGTGTTTGTGTGAATCACTGTGTGAATCACTGTGTGTTTGTGTGTGAATCACTGTGTGTTTGTGTGTGAATCACTGTGTGTTTGTGTGTGAATCACTGTGTGTTGTGTGAATCACTGTGTGTTTGTGTGAATCACTGTGTGTTTGTGTGAATCACTGTGTGTGAATCACTGTGTGTGTGTCTGTGTGAATCACTGTGTGTGTTTGTGAAACACTGTGTGTGTGTGTGAATCACTGTGTGTGTGTCTGTGTGAATCACTGTGTGTGTGAATCACTGTGTGTGTGTGTGAATCACTGTGTGTGTTTGTGTGAATCACTGTGTGTGTGTGTGTGAGAATCACTGTGTGTGTTTGTGTGAATCACTGTGTGTTTGTGTGAATCACTGTGTGTTTGTGTAAATCACTGTGTGTTTGTGTAAATCACTGTGTGTTTGTGTGAATCACTGTGTGTTTGTGTGAATCACTGTGTGTCTTTGTGTGAATCACTGTGTGTGTGTTTGTGTGAATCACTGTGTGTGTGAGTCACTGTGTGTGTGTGTGTTTGTGTGAATCACTGTGTGTGTTTGTGTGAATCACTGTGTGTGTCTGTGTGAATCACTGTGTGTGTTTGTGTGAATCACTGTGTGTGTGAATCACTGTGTGTGTGTTTGTGTGAATCACTGTGTGTGTGTTTGTGTGAATCACTGTGTGTGTGTGAATCACTGTGTGTGTGAATCACAGTGTGTGTGTGTGTGAATCACTGTGTGCGTGTGTGTGTGAATCACTGTGTGCGTGTGTGTGTGAATCACTGTGTGTGTGTGAATCACTGTGTGTGTGTGAATCACTGTATGTGTGAATCACTGTGTGTGTGTGTGAATCACTGTGTGTGTGTTTGTGTGAATCACTGAGGAGAGGCTTGCGGAGCCCCAATGCGGTTTCAGGAAAGGGCGGTCCTGCACAGATGCCATATTTTCTGTCCGTCTCCTACAGCAGAGGTGTAGGGAATTCCAACAAGACCTACATCTCTGCTTTATTGACCTGGTCAAGGCCTATGATACCATCAGTAGGCCTGGGCTCTGGGTCGTTCTTCATGCTTTTGGAGTACCTGACCCTCTGCTCGCGATCATTAAGGACCTTCATGATGGTGAGCGGGCCCGGGTAAAACTACGTGGCCAGGAGTCACAGCCATTCCCTGTACACCTTGGGGTGTGACAGGGATGTCCTCTGGCTCCCACATTATTTAACATCTATTTTGACCACGTAGTTCGTGAAGCCTTCAATAGCTGTACCGGGGGAATCTCCATATGGTACAGATATAATGGGAGGCTGATCGATGCTCGGGTGCGGTCAAGGGATGGCTCCCTATTGCTCAACCACGTTATGTATGCTGATGATTTGGCAATAGCTGCTCAGTCAGAGGAGGAGTTGGAGACGCTGCTGCTGAGACTGGAGCATGCCACTAAGAGGTGGGGCCTTACCATCAGCCCCACCAAAACTAAGCACCTGCCTGGGTATTTTGTACCATCGGACACTCCACCCCCACAACTCCCAATCGGTGATGGGGCAGTTGTGGAGAGAGTGGAGAGTTTCCCATACCTGGGCAGTGTGCTTATAGCTGGCTCCAGTTTAACAGCAGAGATCTCACTCCGAATCAGTCGAGCGGCAATATCTTTTCATTGTTTGCGTAACGTTGTGTGGAAGCTACCTGGTCTGTCGCTCCGCACTAAGCTCCAGGTCTTCTCGGCCACGGTCATTCCCTCACTTCTCTACGCTTGCGAAACGTGGACCCCCCTAATGGAACATCTTCGCCGGTTAGAAACATTTAGGCTAGCCTGCCTATGATCCATCCTGGGTTTAACCAGACTGGACTGTGTGAGGAGCTCACAAATCCTTGAAAGATCTGGGCAAGGTCCTATCAGTGAGCTCCTCCGGCGGGCAAGGCTGCGATGGCTGGGTCATGCAGCCCGCATGCCCAGCCACCGCATGCCGAAACAGCTTTTGTTCGGCCGGATTGAGGGGGCTAAGCGGGCGCGGCACGGGCTAGAGAAGAGATGGAGTGATGTGGTACAGGAGGACGTGGAGCTGAGTGGACTTGCCGATGACTGGTACCAGCGGTGTCAAGATCGGCCTCTGTGGAGGAGGCTCGTGAAGGATGCTACTGGGCAGTTGGAGGTAGTCGCCCTCCAACAACAACGGAGGGCGGAGGAGCGATGCTCAGAACAACGAGCGGAGCGCCGGGTGGCTAAAGCACAGCAGGTTGGCACAGTAGGGGGCACAGGTGGTGCATCAGCCAGTCATCTAAGTCAGTCGACCCGTGGCACCTGGGTCTGCCCCGTAACCTCCTGCCAGCGGGCGTTCGACACTTCACGTGGCCTCAGGGTGCACATAGCCTGGCACAAACGTCGTGGTGACGTCACCGCCACTTAGTGGCGAATGGCGGTTGTTGTGTGTCTGTGTGAATCACTGTGTGTGTGTCTTTGTGTGAATCACTGTGTGTGTGTGTCTGTGTGAATCACTCTGTGTGTGTCTGTGTGAATCACTGTGTGTGTGTCTGTGTGAATCACTGTGTGTATCTTTGTGTGCAGGGTGTGTGTGTCTGTGTGAATCACTGTGTGTGTGTCTGTGTGAATCACTGTGTGTGTCTTTATGTGCAGGGTGTGTGTGTATTGCACAGTATATGCGTGTGTTGCAGTGTATTCTATGTAAGCAACACAATCACCCTACACATGCTCTACACCCAGCACTCTGCGTGGTGTGTGCGCAGGGTGTGTGTGTCCGTGTGTGCCATGTGTGGCGAGTGTGATGAGCGGTGTGTGGTATCACCAGTGATGATGAGTGGTGAGCACAGTAGTGAGCTCCACACCCTCTTCCCGAGCAGCCGCAATAATCTGCACACGCACAACGACACAAATTCCCCGTATAGCCTCAACAAACTGTTGGGGCAAGTGCTATTAGCGAGCACCTATGAAGTCCAACGTGGCACACAAGGGTGTGGGTGGCCAGCCCAACTGCATGTGTCTCCGTAATGAAATCTCCCGATCAGATCAAAGGAAAAGGAACTCCCTCCTGTTCATACACGAGATTTTATTTAAATCAAAGATTATATCTGAAGGGTAGATATTACTTTCCATACTCGTCCAGATTCATAGCGTTCAAGTGACTGCTTTTAAATTGCAAACTTTTTCCTCACGGAGTTTGAAATGAAGTAATAATTTTAAATTATAAACTATTTTTTCCTTACCAGGTTTGGCCCACTGAGCTATATAGCTCTTTTTCAGAAGCGACCACAGATTGGCCACAAATGAAAGCTCAACGAAGTGGCTTATATCACGTGGACATTTATAGCAGCCAAATACTCACGTTGCTTCTAAACGCGGAGGGGAAAACCGAAAGACCCGGAGAACAATCCACGCGACTATGGCGAGATAGACACGCAAACTCCAAATATACAGGTGTCAAGGTCGAACCCACGACCTCCTGCATACCAGACGAGGCAATTAACATCTTGCCACCGTGACTCCCTGAATTGCATCAACCACTACCGCGACCACCGGTAGTTGCAGCGTGGATTTGACCCCCCAAAAATTACAACCCAAAATCACGGCCCGCCCCCCCCCCCCAAACCATCATCAAATTTGACCCCTGACCTTGTCGGGCTCGACGGGGTCGACGGCGGCAGCGCGCTGCGTGCGCTCGTCCACCAGGAGGTACATGAAGTTGTCCTGCAGCGCGGGGACGAGGCGCACCCTCATGGCTCCGTGCCTCGTCGATCCGCTCCGACGGGAGAGCGATCCACTCTGACGCACCGACACGGTGGCTCCTGGCTCGAGCGGGGCAGGGGGGGGGGAGAGAGAAGCGTCACACTCTGCCAGACACAGAGAGAGGGGAGCGAGAGTGATACGAGTAACGGATACAATGTTCAGAAACATGCGGTTAGATTATTTGGCTGCTAAGAATTTTCCACAGTGATAAGCCACTTCGTTCAGCTATCATTTGTGGCCAGGATGCTTCTGAAAAAGGTTATAGCTCAGTGGCCTTTACCTGGTAAAATAAAAAGTTTAGTTATATTTGTATATGTTTTGTGATTACCGTTCCTATACTTTGCACTCATAGCGTGTTTTTGTATTGGTTGTTGTTGTAACGTTCTGACCTTCCCCCTACTGGGCATTTGTGAAAAAGATCTTTATAGCTCATGGGATTCTTGCAGTATAGATAAACATTCTGATTCTGAACTCTCTCTGCCAGGGAGGGAAATATACGAGCAATGCGCACACACTCACTATCGGGGATAGAATTCGAGTAACTGCACACACTTACTCTCTATCAGGGAGAGGGTAATAGGAGTAATCCACACTCTTACTCTCTACCAGCGAGGGAGTTATGCAAGTAATTCACACGCTCTCACTCTCTACCAGGCATTTATATAATACGAGTAATGCACGCATCGTCATTCTCCACCAGGGCGATAGTAGTACAGTACTAGTAATGCACACACTGGCACTCTCTACCAGGAAGAGTGAAATTCAAGTATTGCACACTCTCTCACTTGCTACAAGAGAGAGATTAATACACACTCTCCCTCGACCAGGGAGAGGGAAAGAATCGCTCGTTTGTATGGAGTAATATAAGTATACTCTCCCTAACAGGGAGACGGTAATATTATCTCTTTATTCAATATCCTCACTCTCTTCGAGATACAGTGAACATACACTCACTTTCCTAGGCAAACAGCACTCTCTTCTCCCATAAAAGACGTCCAGGAACATACGCAGTAAAACGCTATCCCAGAAAGAGATAATAACACTCTTTGAAAGAAAAACACTCATTCTCCCAAACAGAAACATACGCATATCTTGTTGAACCTCCGTCGCACCATACGTGACCAACCGTGCTAATTGGAGGTGCGGGGGAAGGCCAACAAAACGAAATACAAAAAGCAGTTCTATAGACTCTCCTAAAGTAAAACACTCACTCCACCATAGAAAAATTCACTCTCCCGTTGCGAAAGAAATACTCTCCCATAGTAAAACATTCACTTTCAGAGAGAAACACTCTCATCGTAAAACACTCGCTCCCCGAGAGAGAACACTCTCCCATCGTAAAACACACATTCTTGCAGAGAGTAACACTCTACCACAGTAAAATACTCACTCTCCCATTGAGAAAGAAACACTCTCCCATCGTAAGAATCACAACACTCCCGTAGCATCGAGGCAGCAACAAACGCACTACGCCAAGGGAGAATAACAAAATTACTCCCCCGTGGGATGTAAAAAAACAAATACTCCCACGCGTGCCGTTAAACACACAATCCCCGCCCTTCTCGGGGGAGAGTAAAACCACTCACGTGGCGCCACTCCCCTCTCCTCCCCGCACTAAATCACACACTCGCACTGACAGCAAATAACAGGTCTTCAACGGGGGGGGGGGGGGGGGGGGGGGGTGGTGACTTTAGGCTACCCGCGGAGAGCGTGGGAGGCCGGGTAGCAAAGAGAGGGGAGAGCAGAGGAGATGGTTGGTAGGTGGTGGGGGGGGGGAAGAGGCAGGCGCTGTGTAATTAGAGCGAGGCCCCTTCATTTCCCCGCGTGCGCACGCTCCGATAACGAGTCGCATCGCCCATTAACTCAACGCGTTTGGCCGGCAAAAGGGCTCTGTCTGGATGGAGGTGGTGGTGGTGGGGGGAGCGTGTGGTGAGGTGTGCGGGACAATGTGGGGGAGGGGGGGGGGAAGCAGACTCAATTATAATTGGTAATATAATTATACACGGAAACTTCGGTGCGCGTTTATACGCGCACACGTTAATGGGCACTGCACGGGAGTCGGTGGTGGTGGTGGCGTGGCCAACAACAATGCCTGGAAGCCAGTGAGTGCCCGATAATAAGTCATGACCATCATCATCACAAATAAGCTCGGTAAATAAGGACGCGCACGACCTGTAATGCCAAACAGTGTGCATATTGTTGGAATGCCGATGGTTATTTACTTATTCATTACTTATTTATCCAGGCGAGGCACACTGAATCCAAGGACTCTTTTACAGGAGGGTCCTGCATTGGGGTTTTTATTGAAGACGTTTTCAGCAAATAAATGACGGAGTGCTTATGAAACGTCTAAGGAAGCCGGAGCACCCGGAGAAAACCTTCAAGTGCGAAGGGTACAAAACCATCCCTCCCCCCATACAGATGAAAGCAGATGGCGATTAGTACACTTGCTGTACTGCTTCTCTGGGTGCTCCGGCTTCCTGAAGGGAGTTTCTGTGCGATCCGCCAACCCTGACCTCCACAGTGCTGAATTACAGGTGTGCCAGCCAGTCAATGAACCCACTGTCAGCCGTAGTCGAGAATCGAACTCCAGGTCTCAGATTTGCAGCGCAGTGGCCTAACCACTGTGACATTCTTGATTTGAAGCTTTCGTGACTACAGGAATCCATACTCTTTGGTTCTTTCGGTAAAGTTACGTAAGTAGAAGAGAAAATTATAATAGATCACGACGTTTTGATCGCAACACTAGCGGCCGTCCTCAGGCGGAAAAAATAACCCAGTGGAACTGCTGAACCGTTCAAATAATCCAGCATTTCCACCGCTGGATTATTTTAGTCCAGCATTTCCACCGCTGGATTATTTTAGTCCAGCATTTCCACCGCTGGATTATTTTAGTCCAGCATTTCCACCGCTGGGTTATTTTAAGCCAGCATTTCCACCGCTGGATTATTTTAAGCCAGCATTTACACTGCTGGATTATTTTAATCCAGCATTTCCACCGCTGGATTATTTTAATCCAGCATTTCCACCACTGGATTATTTTAGTCCAGAATTTCCACCGCTGGATTATTTTAGTCCAGCATTTCCACCGCTGGATTATTTTAATCCAGCATTTCCACCACTGGATTATTTAAGTCCAGCATTTCCACCGCTGGATTATTTTAGTTCAGCATTTCCACCGCTGGATTATTTTTATCCAGCATTTCCACCGCTGGATTATTTTAATCCAGCATTTCCACCACTGGATTATTTTAGTCCAGCATTTCCACCGCTGGATTATTTTAGTCCAGCATTTCCACCGCTGGATTATTTTAAGCCAGCATTTACACCGCTGGATTATTTTAGTCCAGCATTTCCACCGCTGGATTATTTTAATCCAGCATTTCCACTGCTGGATTATTTATTCCGCCTGAGGACGACCGCGAGTGCTGCGATCGAAACGTCGTGATCTATTATTTTTTCTACCTACGACACTGTGACATTGTTTATCACTAAATTCACCCAAACCACATCAGCCCATCTCTTCTGTCGCCTGTGGTGCACCCGTTCAGCCCCCTCCATCTGATCAAACAGAAGCTGCTTTGGGCATGCGGTGGTTGGGCATGCGAGCTACATGACCCAGCCATCGCAGCCTTGCCTGCCAGAGGAGCTTCACTAATGGGACTGTGCGCCGATATTTCAAGGAGCCGTGAGCTCATCACACAATCCAGCCTTGGAAAGCCCACAATGGATCGTAGGCAGGCCAGCATGAATGGTTCAAGCAAGCTCAGGTGTTCTTGTAAAGGGGTACATGTTTCACAAGCATAAAGAGAGGGTAAAACTGTGGCTGATAAGACGCAGAGCTTTGTGTGGAGTGACAGGCCAGGCAGCTTCCACACAGCGCTTGGGCAGAAGCGAATGCAATGCATGGGGCCAGATAAGCCCAACAGCAGCAGCAGTAGGAGGCTGCTAGATTTCCGTGCAGCCCATGGGCTTGTAATTACCAGCACGCTGTTCCCACATTGGCAAATCCGCGCAACATCTTGAGTGCACGCTGGGTCCAAGCAAGAACATCTGCTCACTCTTTAAGTGGCAGAACAGCAAATGAGAGCCCATGTCCTTGACACCAGGACCTGCTATGGAGTTAATCTGCTCGTCTCGTGTAAGATGCGCCTGACGTTCTCCCACTGTGGTGGAGCCCGTCCGCCAAGGTAGGACCCCATTCAGACCCACAATAGCCTCGTCTCGACTATCGCTGGTGATAGTTGCAAGCGTCGCTTGTAGCTGGGGGTTGGAACTTTGTCATCCCTTTCCTCCCTGATACTGGAGGGAGCAGGAGAAACGGGGGGTGGGGGGGTCAGTGGGTGAACAGGGTGAGAAAAGGAACACTGGGAATAGGAACAGGGGAGGGGGGGGGGGCAGGGAGTGTAGGAGGAACAGAGGGAAAATGGGTAGGGGGGGTGGGGGGTGTAGAGGGAGCAGGAGGAACAAGGGGAGGGGAGAGGAGCAGGATTGGGGAGCCCAGAGGGAGCAGGAGGAACACAGGGAGATGGGCAGCAGGAGGAACACATGGAGAAGGGCAGCAGGAGGAACATGGAGATCTGGGGGGCCCAGAGGGAGCAGGAGGAACACAGGGAGAAGGGCAGCAGGAGGAACATGGAGATCTGGGAGCCCAGAGGGAGCAGGAGGAACACAGGGAGAAGGGCAGCAGGAGGAACATGGAGATCTGGGAGCCCAGAGGGAGCAGGAGGAACACAGGGAGAAGGGCAGCGGGAGGAACATGGAGATCTGGGAGCCCAGAGGGAGCAGGAGGAACACAGGGAGAAGGGCAGCAGGAGGAACATGGAGATCTGGGAGCCCAGAGGGAGCAGGGAATGCAGAAGGAGCAGGAGGAGTGGAGTGGGGGGGGGGGGTGTTAGATGGGGCAGGGGGGCATTAGGGGGAGCAGGGGGAGAAGGGCAATCAGAGGGAGTGTGGGGCGCAGGGGTAACTGGGGGAGCAGAGGAATCCGAGGGAACAGTGGGAGAAGAGGGAACAGGGGAATCACGGGAAAAAGGGGAAGCTGAGAGAATAGGGGGAG